TAGACTCATACTGTTATGATGGTTAGGTAACTGAAAGACACCAAGAGCAACATGATAATATCTTGTTCTCCAAGTTTTATCCTCAATATGATAAAATAACAAAGGTTTATTCTCTCCTGTCCAATTTGTAAGATTGAAATACTTCATATTTAATACAATTGATTTTCCTCCCACCAGGAGCAATAGTTAAACACTAAAATCAATGTGATCTCTAAACTCCTACCTTGTTTTTTGATCATATTTGACTATTGTGTAACAGGACACATGGAAAACTGGCAAAGCGAAGAGAAAAGGACAGCCAAGGCCGTAAGATGGTCAAGACCATTACCACCCTCACAAGTTAAACAAATGACCGAATATTAATAACACAAAATAGTGCTACGGGCTGTTTAGGACAACAGTGCTGTGGAGCTGAACTATAAAGCATACAATCAGGGCAATTCTGTGAAAGTGTTCTGAGAAGAATTTAAGCTTAGCCTAAATGAGCCCAGCTACTGCTTATCTGCAATGCCTGGGAAGTGCTGCCCTTGAAGAGGGACTCTTCCATTAAGAGTACTCAGTGTGACTTCACATCTCAAACATTTGCAGCTCCACACACACAGATTTTCTCTACGTCCTTGAAAAGGTATAGATAAATAAAGAAAATATTTAAGGAAATGTTGATTTTAAATTGTGGTATTGTTACCACACCATATTCTTTAGGCATTCTAAGAGAAAGACAGCTATGTGCATTGTCTCTATTTAGCTAGCTATTGTTTATAAGGGATGCTCACACGTTAGAAGCTTGTTTTGCAAACTACATTTGTTATTGCAAAGGGAAAAAAGAAAACTTTAAAAGGACAAAATTCACCTTAGCAATCAGTCTTTTGTGACCTGTATTGCAGCCTTAAAAAGGTGTAGAAAACAAACCAAATTATTCATCTTTAATCATTGGTAACACAACACACTCAGCCCTTAGGAAGAACATGGAATGCAGAAAGTGCAGCTCCAATAAGTCCACATTTAGCCACCTCTCTTTGATCAGGAATTGGAAACCAGCTAGCTAAAATATATGTAGATGAATTTTACTCAGCAGTGCCTTGCTAAAATTAGTCCTGATTTGCAGGAACAATCCTTCCCACCCCCCCACCCCTTAACCAGAACTACTACTGGGTTTTTGTTTTTCAGTTTTAAATAAAAGAAACAGAGAAACATTAGGATAGAAATCACTGCATTACTCAAATGGGTCTATGCAGAGCAAACCCCAACATCTTGCAAAAAGTCACCTCAAATCTTACTAAAAACATTCTCACCAGTAAATTTTAAAAGCAAGTTGATATATAAATATTTGTATTAAATTTATCATTGATTAAAAACAACCTAAATGCAGTACAGACAACTATGAAAGCAAGTGTTAGAATAGGGAGGAATACATGAGTTCTCACGGCTACATGCATTCAAATCCAGTGATGTTTTGGTTAAAACTCTTGACATTTTTCATTGTTCTAAGGCTAAGGTAATTGCCATGTTATCTATGGCTTGCGTAGTTAACACTGCCCAAGGTAGCTCATCTTGTCTTGGGAGCAAGATTAAGCCACACGGCTTCCCATGCAACATACGCACTGGAATCACTGCTTCTCTAGTTGACTAGCAAGGCTGAGCGGAACATGGCAAACTCCAGTACACACGCACACCCCTATTACGCAGCGCACATAAACCATGTCTCTACCACTGATACTCAGATTTTTACTCAATATTGCACTGGATTCTGTCATACTGTCATAAGAAAATACGAGAAACAATACAAAATAAAACCAGAATCATTTAACCTGCTCACCGAGTCCTCTGCCTCTATTCAAAGTTAATGATTTAATTTACTTGAAAAGTCAGAAACAAAATATCTCCAATAGCAAAATCTCACTGCCAAAAGCAAAACAGCAGAGATACTAATGGTATCTAAATCTTTAATTTCCATAGGTTTTACAGAAAGAATAATCCTTAGAAAATTACTGTAGGTTATAGAATGTATATATGTTTATATATACCACTACTAAATTTTCCCCATTAGAAGTTCATCATATTCAGATTTCTCACAGCAATAGACATTGCAGATAAAATAAACCACACACATTCAATCTCTGGAAAAGGTATTTTCAAGGCAAAATTCCGCTTTGTGTTCCTATGAGAAAAACATTATCCCCCAAGCTGAAAGAAGTTGCTGATGGCCTGCACAGCACAAGTTTTCCACTCTACAGTTGTAGGTAAGATCAATTCCACAGAATTTTATCATGTCATCATTTTTTTCACATTGCACTGTGGCAGATACAGAGTAATCACTAGTGTAGGTGCACAGTCACTTTTTAATTCTACAAGGATACTACAAGCAAACTAGTTTGTCACAGTCTGAAAATCTCATCTATGTTTTTCTCTGTGCAATTGCAGATGGACTGAAAACTGAGTTTAAGTGTTCATGTTAAACTAGTAAGGAGCTTTACTTCACAGAGCCTCCTCCAGGTGATCAGTAGGCCTTAAGGAGTCTCTGCCTTAAGCATGATCACTGGAACTGAAAACTGGCTTCATGTCAAAACTTTTATCTATGTTTTGGTGTTGAGGTGAAGATGAGCCAAACATCCAAAAAGTAATTCTCAGCTAGAACAGTGAAGACATCATTTTTTAATGCTTTTACACTGCTACTTACTCAGGAGTTAATTAACTTTTTGCACTAGATGTGCATTAGAGGTTTTAATCATGAAATTATAAGATGTAGCCATATCTGCTTTCTGTGATCCACATCAAATTCAATATATAGAACACACTGAAGCAGAACAAATTCATGCGTGATCAGTTATCCTATTAAAAGTAAAAAGACTACTCTGCATAGTAGAACAAGTATTTCTAGTCAGGTTCATTGAACAGAAAAATTCAGACTCTAGTGCTGTAGAGATCATGCTGCACCATACCATATTAACCAGATTAGTTGATGCCATATTGAACTTGAGCAATCGCTTCCAGCATGGAGCACTTCTGTCCTAAAGGTCAGACCACTGAGAGCAAGAGGATGGTCAGATCAGTTATCTCCTCCATACCCTGATCACCAAAGTCAGTTCTTTCTGCTATGCAATGAAAAACTATAAACAAAGGCACTCTTTGAGCCCAAGAGCTGTATTCCCATTAATCTGTATAGGGAACTAGGTCAAAGAAGCCCTACGGCTTCTCTGAGCTACGTAAGCAAGCAGAGGCCCAGGAAGGGAAGCTGAGAATCCCTTATGCAAAATAACAGCCAATTCAGAGTCATTTTTCAAGATACTTCCATCCACAGGAGGACAGAAAAAAGGACAATGTCCAAGTTGCTCCTCAGCTCAAGAAACATCCTGTTGGCTTGTTATGTCCGTGTAGGGAGAGGAAGAGATCTACACAAAAGAAAACCCAAAGGATGCAGGAAAAGAGCCCCGGGCTACCCTCCACTGTCAGCTAGCTGTAGTGCTAGCCAAGCATTTTACCCACCGGGGCCTGGAAGGAGACCAAATTAATCTCAGAATTGTTACAGTCCAACTACTGTTTGGTTGCAGTTCACTTCATTTAATGATGAACAGTGGCTTGCAGTTACAAGGTTCCATAGCCCCCATCAGCGAGGCAGGTCAGCCAGTAACCCCCCAACTCCCATTTTCTTACAGCAGGTCACAATGGATCAGGAGCTTTATCAGAAACTTGTTCCATGAGGTAAAGGATGAAATTTATTTTGAATGCAATTTTGAATTCACTTAAACACTGTTAGTGGTAGGAGTGCATATATATATAGGAAAACAAAAGAGAAAGAACTTGGGAGGTTATAATGAGGAAAAGACATGTATCAGGTCTTAGAATTCAGCAGCGCTATAGCTTGAAAGAATATTTTAAGGAAGACACAAGTGAACTTCAGTGTCAAACTACGCATAAAGAAAATGATGCATAGATGGGCAAATACTTCCATATTATCTCTAGCAGTACTGCCTCCTACATGCTACAGAGATGTATCAATAAACAAATCTTTTTCAATCACCACTGAAATACATAAGCACAGCAATACCCAAGGTTAAACCTCCCTTCTTAATTACTTTCAAAAGATTAGCTTTTCACCTAACAAGTTTTTTCAGCTTTTCCCAGCTTCCCCAATTTTAGAGGGGATTTAACAGGCTATCTTTAAAAGACTTCTTGCAAATAATTTTATGTCCAAGATAACATAAGAGTGCTAAGCGTAACAGCTCTCAAAACAATGACAGTTCTCTAGAAAGCAGTGGTTCTTCTTTATGCAAGTAAGCAACATTTTTTAATATACACTGTTGAATATACATGCATGTATATTCAATTTAATAATTCCACAATTTAATAATTAAATTAATATTAATAATCAAATAATTGTGCTAATCACATAAAGACATGAATTAAAGACATAAATTAAGACATCAATTAGAGACATTTTCTCATATTCCAGGGCAGGATACTACCATAAAAATATGTCTTTCAGAAAACAAATATCTTCTCAGAAAAGATAAAATGGCAAATCAGAGATGAAGAGGTACCAATGTTACGGCTCTTGTCACCCTAGTCTCTAAATCTATTCAGCCATGCAACTCAGATCTCTCTACTCCTTCTCTAGATGTAAACCAAAGGAAGGGTCAGATAAACTGAATGATGTCTACATCTACAGCAATTAGAGTCAGAAACTCCTTATTTACTAAAGATTTCCACACTACTGCCACTAGTAATACCAATCCTACATGGACACAAGAACAAATAAGCTGCCAAAAATACTCTTTACATGGTTATTTCTAGGTGTAATTTGAATGGTAATTCCAAACATACAGAAACATAGCATCCTACAATATGTTCTTGTATAGGGTGTAACACAAAGTAGCATGTAGAAGAGATGCATTGTAAGAATGTTTCTCACAATGAATCATAGGAACTAACATACTAATCTTTACAGTCTGAGAAACACAACCTTCAGCTAGAGAAAGAAGAGGTAGTAACAGATTACTCACTCTGGCTTTTTATCCATTTCAGTTGCCATTATTTAGCTTCGAAGCCACAGACACGTCACAAAGCAGCTCTCTAGTCCTATCAAGTCCACATTTTTCAGGAAACAAAGCCATGCAAATAAAATAGCACTGCCCCAACTTCTCATTTATACAACATCAAGGAAAAGAACAGAAAAAAAAAAAATGAGTGAGGAGTGAGGCTGAACACAGGGGTTAAAATAAATACATAGTGCCTGTGCTCACATGTTCTGTAATTGGATCCAGAAGGCAAACTGGCCACAGGTGAGGCTCATCTGAGACCTTAATCAAAGGAACCTGATCACCTTTACAGATGCCTCTATTTTATGCCTTCAGGACTGAACTAAGTATTGGTTCCTAGTTTCCTTTTTTTTCTGTGGTTGAAAACATAAAGTGCTGCTGTTTTCCTATCTATTTTTGAGCTTACAAGTATAAATCAAGTTGAAAATTAAGTCTTTGATATACTTTTAAGTAAAAGGCCACAGAAAATTAAAACAATAATACCGACTTATAAATATGTCAAAGCGTAGGGGAAAAAAAGCATCTTGGTTATTTTTGTTTTGGGGTTCTTTTTTATTTTTTTTTTAAACATTATAACCTCTATGACCAGTTCAATGTTTTGATTCCATCCAGTAAATACATCAGATTCCACAGTCTATCTCCCTTGATTTAACTTATTAATACACGAGCAGCTTGACCCATTCAACAGATTTTGATCCTGATCATAATCCTTCTGAAGCAATGTCTAAGCTTTTTTTGTAGCTGGTACCTCAATAGCGAGTCTGTTCAGACTTTCCATGGTCTTGCCACAGATGAAACAATAAACATCTAGCTACTTGTGCAGCAAGAACTGCAGCAAGCCCAGTTCTGCACTTGCAAAACTGATGCCAAGGAGTGGTAATTCTACTTCAATGACTTTATTGACTCCAAATGATTAAGCCAAGCACGACTGACAAAGCTTTACTGACCACTTCTATTTATAACACTGTACCATTCCATATCCCTTCAGAGTTGCTTACGTGTGGTTCTTGCATGATACAGTGCTTTACTGCCTCTTAAACTGTGGGGGCTTTTACAGTGAGGAGGAGTTACAAAAACTTAACAGAACTCTGTTGTTGAAAAGCATCTAATTTTTAAAATTTTGTGTTGGATTAACATATACTGCCATCATGTGGGAAGAAATAATAGGAAAAAATAATTGTTCAGTGATAAACTCCCAACTTGATAAATTCACCTTTATTTTAAAACAGTCTATTTGCTACTAGCACAAACGCTAACTCCAATGTTTAAAATAGGATTAAAAAATGTAATTTTTTTTTAATTTATGATTTTTTACCTCTTGTAGCATCACAAACTGCAGTGCTGTGGCAAGAAAAGAAAAAATAGCAATAACAACAACAAAAAAAGAACGAGTAACAAGCCCAACTGTTCTAGTTCTTTCAAATAGATTTCAAAAGAAAATATATCAAAAATTTCTTACAGAGGAGCCATATAATTGGGAAAGAAAATAACTATCAGTGGATTTGAATAAACTACTTATTTTAAATTATGTACAATATTTTAAAATAACATATCCTCCAGATATTGCCAAGAACCCCAAACCCAACACTGAAATAAAAATATGTCTAAATAATATAAATTATTCTTGAAATAGTTGCAGTTTTCAAGTTTAACTATACCATATAAAAATGGGAAGATATTACAATCTATATGTAAAATATGCTTATTAAAAAGAGCACTTAAGTACTAAAATATCAAAGTTAAAGCTGAACTTGCCAGCTTTACAGTCTTGTTAAGCTCAGCCCTTATGGGCTGCCTTTTTAAGCTCCATCACATGGAAACAATTAGTGGCATCTGCCTTCATAATCAACAGCCCCATATCCTAGAGCAGGTCCCACTGAGTAATTTGCTGCTCTTCTTGAGCTGAGTACATCAAGATCTAAAAATTAGATAGTAAAACATAAATAGGCATTTATCTTCCTGATACAGATTTTTATCAAAAGGAATCTCAGAATCCATGAAGTATGATCCTTGTTCATGAGTCCTAGGTATTTTAGAAAACAACTTTGTAACTTGAGAAAAGTACATCTGAACTGCAGAGTCTCAGCCTGTACACTGTAATCAGTTTATAAACAAATTATATTGCTAATGTAATCAACTCACCTACACAAAAATGCCAATCTCATATATATATATATGTGTGTGTGTGTATTATATATAGTATATATACTGTCATATAGATGTCATGTGAGTAATCAGCATTCACCAACATAATGGAAAGAGTATTTCTTCCCATATTTAGGTACAATGGTCCTAACCTAACTAGAGTTATTTTCTAATAACTACTATGTAGCTAGTTACATAGTCAGCAAATATGAGTTCTAAAGTCATGCTCATTATACCAATTAATTTCCATATTAAGATTTTTAATTATTTTCATATATGTACATTTTCCCTTAATTTTCTCTGCACCATTTTCCTCTTGTGTTCAAGTGAGAACTGTTCCTATTTTAGGAGTTACTTAGCTACCTCAGAATTTAGTCATATCATACCTTCCTATTTTACCAGTTACAGCTAGAAGCAATAGGTAATTTAACTCATACTAAGTAAAATTATTAAGGTAACAATTTTACCATGAAATAGCATTTATTTAGATGACAATGAGTTTACTTCTCTCACATTGAGACAGAGACTCTAACTAGAGTTCAAGGTTTACATTTGAGAGAGTACAGAAATTATTTTGTGATTTCAGTGACACTCATTTGTTTCAGGCTATGAAACACAAAAAGTTACGGACTTGCTAAAACCTCAAAACAAAACACATCTTGTCAGCATGCACAGAAGAAATATAACCTTCCAGACCTTCTCCTGCATGCCATCAACATCTTTATCTTAGACACCACACAGCCAGTTAAATGAAGAGTCCTAAAGCATTTGTCTCAGGTCTTGCCTAAACTGGCTTTTACAAGCTTTATTTTCCCCACAGTCAGACCACAACACAAAATGATGAAAGGGTAAAATTATGATTTAGACTAATCCTAGAAGCATGGGATGCTTAAGGTTGGAAGGGACCTCGGAGGTCATCTAGTCCAACCCCCCTGCTCATTCAGGGTCACCTAGAGCTCGTGGCACAGGGCTGTATCCATGCAGATTGGGTAACGAAATCCAACAAAATACTTCCACCCCCTTTCTGTAAGAAAATTTACAAGTCTCCCTTTCTCTCTCTTGACCCTTCTACATGTGGGTCTACACTTCATACAATTTTGTTCAGGGCTGCACGGTCAGTCCAAGAACAGAGCTTGCTGAAAAACAAGTGGATTCATTGCAGTCCGGGGATCTCTACAATGTCTGCACAGCTGTAACTGCTATCCAGATTGGACTGAGGCTGCACCTGCTTTGTGGCCTAAAGTTGAATCACTAAATAGAAAATGTATCCACACATACAAACACGGCAATGAGTTAATATTTTATAACTTTTCCATACATTCACTCTGACCCACAGAGTGTGGCTGTTTGCCAGCAGACTGCATATACAAAATTAAGTGAGTTCCAGGCAACATGTTTTGTTCCCACTCAAGCTGTTCATGTGGAGTTTGAAATGAAGGAGACTAGAATAGAATTTAGATCAAAAGTTCAGATAAAAAAGTTTGCCAAACTCAGACTGAGAATAGCATTATGATAAAGACAGATAGATCTGACAGACCAGTCATTCAACAAACACAAGTTAGATATTCCTGCTTATATCACGTATTTCAAGGAATGAAGACTGTACCCTGGCCTGAAACTTCCCATGGTAAAATTAATTCTCTGAAACCCTAGGGGAAGGAATCATAGTGTAGTGCTACATTCTGGCAGGTAAACGAAGAGTTGCAAAGGTAAAGGAAAACATGGCTATTAGTAAAAAGAGTGCTTCACTCTCCATAATTCTATAGCCAGCTTCCTTTCACTCCTAATCAACTTAGGTCTGATTGATTAATCTGTTTCGTAAGATTATGTTTCATCATAAGATGATGGAAAAGTCACACATGCTTAGACAAAAATGGGAAAGCTCATTAAGAATATATTGAGCTATATTAACAATTCCAAAGAGTGATAAAGAAACAATTTTTTCAAACTTTCAAGAAATCCATACCTGGAGGATAACGTTAATTCTAAGAGGATGTGCCACACCATGTCTTTATTGTTTATACAATCTCAATCCAAATGTAGTCAATAAATACCATCAGTAGATGTGTTTTGCTCGTCACTGCTTTCCTTATTACTATTCTCCTAAAATCAAAATCTAAGGAGAGTTACTAGAGAAAACATGATCCAAAATCCATGGTGTACACTTAAATACATTGAACATATAGGGTGAACACAGAGAATGGCTATAAAGTTTGAGATTTGAGAAAATCTTAAAAACTTGAGAGATACCACTAGAGGGTGCAGAAGGCTACTCTATTGTAGTTGCTCTCTGTCTCAATAAATGTTCTCAAAAGGCTCCTTGTAGGTATGAAAGCCTTGGCTCCAAAAGAATTACACTGCTAATATGAGCAAGAATAGTGCTAGTTCAGAATCATCTGCTTAAGCACAGAGCCCAAATTGCCTTTCTGAGCAGAACATCTAACTCCTGCTATGCACTATGAGGTAAGTGTCCAGTGATGGATGCAGCTGTTATTTTGTCGAAGTTCTGTCTTTAAACTGTTCCCAGGCTTTCCAGGGAACATTCCAGGAGTTTTACAGGTGTAGCTTTTAATAAGTACAACTCTTCACACACCTTTTTAATTTGAAGGATAAGTTAAGTTCTATTCTGTTCCTGCTGATGATACAGCCATGATCAAATTACTAAAAAATCTTTTAAAAACAAGTCAGTATTCACTCACCTACTTGTTCCATTGGAATCCTTGGGACTAAATTTAAGCTGCATTTGTCAGCAACACTCTCTCTGTGGTCCTTAGTCGCCTTCTAGACTCCAGAGATTTAGCAGAATGGAAGACTTTACAAGGGATGAGTGACTAGGTCGGGTTTCTGTATTATCTTTAGTGTGACTGGACTGAAACACGTAGAAATCATAGAAGCTGGATGAGGGAGCTCCAGGTGCATGAGGACATTTTAATATGCAACTTCCCTTCCCTGCCCTTTCCCTGCAGTGTATTGCTTCACGTGGGACT